AGAGGGCACAGTAGCATCAGGCCAGATAAAATACAGCTTCAAATGACAGAATGAAGATCTTGAACTTCATCGTAGACCATTACTATTTGTAATTTCCTTCTTGCCATATGCCCGTACAAACCCTTTATTATGCCCAAGGCAGTGTCTTGCTTGTCACTTGAACTTAGCAAGTTAATTGTAAATGTTCTTCCCTTGCTCATGCTCCCTCCTGACTGACATTCAGAGCACACTTCCTACCTTCCTTCTTTGCCTCTCCAGATGCTGGCCATTCAGCCAAGTTCTGCTTCCTTTGAGCCTTTCCCTAGAACCATCGCTTATGCTTTTGGTTTGTTAGAAGAACTAACAGATTGCTATACCCATTGGAAGGGTTCCATAAATACATGTTATAGAAATGAGTGAAGGAAATGGAGGAACTTATTTAGAGACATATAAAAAAGACATTAATAATAAAAGCTTTGGTAAATAATGAGAGAGATTGTGAATTAGAGCAGCTCCAGAGCCAAAATAAGATGAACAAGCCTATTAAATAGAAATGATTTTCTAAGTTCAAGTTGCAGATCAAGCTTAAACTCTAAACCTTTTCTTGGCTGGGAGTAGTGGCTGATGCTTGTAATCCCAACACTTAGGAAGGCCCAGGAGTTTGAGACCAGCTGGGACAACATAGCAAGACCCCTATCACTACAAAAAAAAAAAAAAAAAATTATTTTAAATAGCTAGGCATGATGGTGTTTGCCTGTAGTCCCAGCTACCTAGGAGGCTGAAGCAGAAAGATGGCTTGAGCCCAGGAGGTAAAGGCTGCAGTGAACTAGGATTGTGCCACTGCACTCCAGCCTGGGAAACAAAGCAAGACTCCATCTCCAAAAGAAAAAAAAAAGAAGAAGTTTTTCTTTACTTTTTCTTTGGCATTTCTGACTTAAGCCAGTGAGAATTCTTCCTCATTCTTTTTTACTCACTGCTTTAATTTTTGTTAGGAGAATTTTTCCCTCCAACTTGGATGATCTTTCCATTTTTTTTTCAGTTGTTTATGCATGTAGATAACTAAAAACAGCAAAGCTCTTAGCGATTCTGCTCCATGTCTGTCTGTTCCCCACCTCCATTTCCTACCACGCACCCCAGCATTCCCCCAGTACATCGCTAAACTACCAACAAAACCTAAAATAGACTAGTTTGTTTAAATGTATTTTCTCCTTCCAGTCCTCTTAAAATGTGTAGCGAAATGTCCCCAAAGGCAAGCAGCTAAGAGAATAAAGAGGAGGTATTCTCCCCATCCCAGTTATTCAGCCCCAGAAGTATTGATTGGAAGGCACTGAATTTTCAAAATGACTTCCAGGTTTAGTACATGGTAATAATTTGAGGCTTTCCCACATGGATAATGTAAATGTTCAGAAAATAAGTTATGTTATAGCTGAATGGGCAGCAAATTAGCCAGAATTTTAACTTATAAGATGCAATGGTGAAGATTAATGTGAAATAAAGAGAAGGGAAGAGAAGACAGCAATATGCTTTCAACGAAACCGTCAATTTATAAAAATATGTATATTGAAAAGGGAGGGTAGATCAGATCCTGTTAGGTTTGGTACATTAAAGAAAGAACTGGGATACCGCAGGCTCAGTAACTAAAGGAATCTGTCCATATTTGGGAGGTAAAAGATGTCTTGTAGGCAGGGAATAGCAAATTTTGCTTGAACGTACAACACCTTAGAGGTGGGAGTAACGGTACTTGGAATGAGATTATAGAAGACCTCTTGACAGGTTTCCAAGACTAGAGGATTTTGTTTGGTGCATAATAGATGAGAGCAAGCCAGTAGTATTTGGTTGTTGAAGCCAGCTGTTTGGATGTAACATAGTGGAAGCAGGTGCTTCTGCAGATGTGGCCCTCTCTAGTTGTCTAGCCCTAATATATCGTTCATTGTCATACACTAATTTCTCATATAAAAACTACTAACTAGTAGCAGTCTAAGCCTGCAGACATTGCTGAAGCTGGTTTTTTTGATGTTGTTTTCTTTGTAACGATTTCCTGTTTGGTAGATGAAATAACAAGCTTATGCTATTAAGTTTGTGCCTTCTCCTCCCTGGCAAAGTAAAATGCTAGAAAGGTTACTAAACATTAGTGTTTCAGAATGAAATGTGTTCATTTTAACTGCTTATAGGAAAATTTAAACTCAACCGGTTTAAATTCATTGCTTAGCCTATTGTATGCTCCATTGAAAACACAAACAAAAAACTCCGTGATTCTTCTAGAGTTTGTTATTCAGTCATTCCAGTGTCTAAATCCATCAGGCAGAACAGAATCGTTCGCATTTCTCCTCTGCACTGTGGAGAAGAGGAAGGCTGATCACGGAAAAGGATCTGGTGAAGGTTTTTGCAGACCTAAGGATCTTTTTTCTATCTTTTTATTTTTGCAAACCTAAGCATCTTCTTTCTGGATAATTTCCAGAGACATCAACTTTGCTGAATCTCATTTGTTGGGATTTTTAGCAACCTGTCCCCACTCTCCTAAGAAAAAATCTTAATGGTGACTTGTGTGTGCAGACTTTAATTTGTAAGTGAAAGTTACAGTGTTTCCAAAGTTGTAGGTTAGTTGGTAGAGCGTTAAATGCAGTTTTGTTCATAGTCAACATTTATTAAGTGCCCACTTTGTTAAACACTGTTAGGTACTGTGAAAGAGAAAAGAATACGGTGTCCTTAAGGAACTAGAGAGAGAGGCTAGATCTTCACAAGAGGGCGTTTTTCAGGAGCTAGAAGAATAGGTTATATATGTATTCAAATAATAAAGAGAGGGGACATTTCTTGTAGGGGATCCATGGAGAATTCATGGAAGTATTATTTATTTTCATTAATGAATGAGAGTATTTGTCTTCTCATAGAAGAAGCTATAATGATTCTATCTGTGGTCCTGACTGCCACACCACTTATGATCATTAAGTTAATTTTAGAACCTTGGGAGGGACAGCTAGGAAGCAGAGGCTCTCATTGTTGGCCAGCTGCCGTTGTCAGTTTGAGAAGTCTCCAGTAGTCAGAAGGTGATGAGAAAATGGTCGAGTGATTTTATTGCCCAGTGAGTTTAATTTTGTGACCCTTTCTTGAATCTCTGCTATGTATTAGAACCACTGTTTAGAAAACGGTTTCTTTTTCTTTAGAAAAAGAGAACAGTATCTTCTCGATTTACTAATTAGTGGAGGGTATAAACATAATACGATTAAATATCATATAAGGCAGAGTGCTAATGGGATGTAGAGGTGTTAAAAAAAAAAAAAAAGACTGTGGAAGCACAGAGGAGGAAGCATTGACATGGTGTTTCCTGGTAGAAATCAGTTCCTGTACTTCATGTAGGAAGTAATATTTGACTGGGCCTTGAAAAAGTGATATTTTAAAGATGGAAAAGAAAGGAAAAGGCATGACACAGAGAGAAAATAGCATAGCAAAGGCATGTAAGCACAGGATGGGAATAGTCTAGTGATGTTACCATGGCCAGGGATAAATTGGAAAGATTGGATGGAGCTGGGTTGTGAAGGGCCTTAAATGACAGTGCTGAGATGAAGACTCTTCTGTAAGTAGAAGGGAGCCAGCCCATGTTTTTGAGCAAGGAGGTAACAGGCTCTGGTTTGTGTAATTGTGCTTTGAATGCATGGCTTAGGGGGAAATGAAATAGACAGGAAGTAAGCAATAGCATCAGTCTAAGCTAGCGATGATAAGAGTATGAACTACAGTGGTAGAAATGGAAATAGAACAGAGGAGGTGAATTCAAGACACACACAGTTGAAGCAGTGAGAGTTGTATTAGCAGCTTGAACTGGGAAATGAGAGGGAGAAAGGATTTAAAGATGACTCCAGTGTTTCTAGTAACACAGGTGGTAATGTCACTAATGAGGATAGGAGCACTAAAGCACAGGTATGACTTTGGAAAATGGCGGGGTTAAGAGTTTCTTCCCAAGCAAGTATTGGGAATTCGTGCCAGGAACCTAAGAGTGGTACCAGGGCCAGACATACAAATTTGGGGAATTATCCCCAAACAAATGCTAGTGGAAGCGATGAGATCAAAAGAGTTAGCCCTGAGAAAACATCCAGCAAGGAGAGGAAGTTAAAATCAGCAGAGCTTGCTGGAAAACACCTTCTATAGAAGGTAGAAAGAAGGAAAGCAAATAGCAAAAGGAGAGTTGTCAAGAAGAATAAAACTAGAAAAGAGAGGGAAGAATTTAGGGAGTCGGTGGGTGCTTAGCATTTTCAGATGCTGTGATTGCAGGGAGCATGGTGTGCCTGGGGCGTGAGGGATTTCTAGCCTGTCACGTGGGCATGCATACATAAATAATAGCATTTCTACACCAAAGACTCAGTCCTTTGGCTGGCCATCCTTGCTCATTGTATTAGTGTGTCTCCCATGGACTCATCCCTTCTACCTCCCATCTAATGCCTCTTACAGCAGTAGGAGGGAGAGGGAAGAAGGGAGGGAAATTGAAGCACGAGGGGAGTTAAAATTAAAATGTAAGCATTCTTGCTTACATTTTAATTTTAAGTAAGTCGTATATTCTTCCTTTTGAATAAACTACCTTAGTTATAATTAATATCACTTTGTCTAATTTTTAAATTGTCACAGATGTGTTTGTCATAAGAAGTAAAAATAACATAGAAATTCTGGGTGTGAATTAGTTGAATAGGCTTACATGTGTTTCCTGATTCTAATGTGGTCTTAGCATCATCCAGTTTCATTTGCATTCTTAAAGGAACAAGTACCACTCGCCTTTTTCTGCCTAGGTTTACAAAGGGAGCTGTACCATTTCTGCTGACATAAACTGATCATGTTTATCTTTGTATTTCAGCTCATCGATATCTCTGTTTCACTGTTATTTTTTAAGTGTCTGGCTATGCGGTTTCTAAGTGTTCTCTTTTTGCATTTAATATTCACACTTAATGATTTGGAATCTTTAGTGACTAGAGACTAGTGTTTGCTCAGCTACAATAAAAGGTTACAATAATATTAATTATGTCAATTTGCCTTTCTAGATTTTGGTTTCAGTAACCTCTTCACTCCTGGGCAGCTGCTGAAGACATGGTGTGGCAGCCCTCCCTATGCTGCACCTGAACTATTTGAAGGAAAAGAATATGATGGACCCAAAGTGGACATCTGGGTAAGTAACTGCCTTCTCTTATACCTGACAGCATTAGCTACCCTTGGTTGATGACAGCTGTTCTCATCCTGGAGGGTACATGTGACGCACATGAATTGAGATCCTGGTCACCTGTTCTTTCAAGTCCCAATTTCTTGTGCAAAGTCTTTTTAAAAAAAAAAAAAAAAAACATAGTCTCATTCTGTTACCCAGGCTGGAGTGTATCAGGGCAATCTTGGCTCACTGCAGCCTCTGCCTCCCAGGTTCAAGTGATCCTCCTGCCTCAGCCTCCCAGCTAACTGGGATTACAGACACACGCTATGACGCCCAGCTAATTTTTGTATTTTTAGTAGAGACAGGGTTTCTCCATGTTGGCCAGGTTGGTCTCAAACTCCTGACCGCAGGGGATCTTCCCGCCTTGGTCTCCCAAAGTGTTGGGACTGTAGGTGTGAGCCACCGTGCCCTGCCTGCTTGTACAGTCTTTCCTCCAATACTTACCTTATGGACTGAGCCACAGATTTCAAATTTCCCCTTGGCATCTGCAAAAGAACCAAGGACCAGCTTGGATGGAGGCCCTTGCCAAGAACAGAGATTCTTTCTAATGTGGCCACTTACCTTATCTCCGGAGAATGAGTACTGAGAAAAATTCAGGATGTTACCCTAAATGAACGCCTAGAAGCAAAGAAGATTGTTAACTGTTCTAAGGTAGAAGAAAAAGTTTGTTCCATAACCTTATGCATGACTCACCATCGTCTGCATACACACACTACAGTGGTGGTTTTTGTTTCCTCTGATGGGATTAATTGTGCATCCTCTCTGTTTGGGATGCAGAGCCTTGGAGTTGTCCTCTATGTGCTTGTGTGCGGTGCCCTGCCGTTTGATGGGAGCACACTGCAGAATCTGCGGGCCCGCGTGCTGAGTGGAAAGTTCCGCATCCCATTTTTTATGTCCACAGGTAAGAGAGTCGCTAGCACACAGCTATGAATGGGTTCGTGAAAGTTAGACCCACTGAGTTATCCCAGAATTTAGTGACAGAGTATAAACGGCCGACTTATAACCTTTTTTAACTCCAGCTTGCTGACCTGATGCCTCCAGGAGACAAGGTTCTGTAGAAACAGAGTACAGTACACAGGTTTTGGCATCAGATAGCCCTACCTGGGTTTGAATCTGGGCCCTAAGTCTGTCTGAGCTTTAGTTTCCTCATCTATATATTGGCTGAGAGTTTTGTGAGGGCTGCTATTACTTAAGGATTAAATGAGATAATGTACGTAAAGACTCAGTAGGCCCATGGCGTAGCAGTAATGAAATAAATTTTTTTGTTTCACTTCTGTCTTCCCCCTACCCTTTTTCAGGATGTTTCCCCTTATTGGGTTCTCATTGCAGTGTGGTTTTAAATGCCAAGGAGAAAGGAGGCTTTGCATCTTAGTCTTGTTACTGCTTTATTTCCTATTTCTGTGCTCTTTGTCCTCCAGAATCAAATTTTTAAAAATTTCTTTAATAAGTGGATAGTAAGGTAACTAAGTCTTGGAAAAATTTAACATTGAAAATAGATACTAGATACCCAGAATTAGCGGTATTTTATCAAATAAGAAGGGAACATTTTAGAGACAATGCAAAAAGTCACATCGTTTTGCTTAATCATCTGTTTTCATTTTAAGGAAGAACATGTGTCCACTGGGTTAACAACCAAGTGGGAGCCCATGGAAATTGCATTTTAGAATAAAGAGGTGAACCTTGGAGTAGATTTAACTTGTGTTCTTCGAACTGATGACTTCATAGTATATAAGATAATGCTAAATGCTGTGAGAAAAATACGATAGAGAAGGAGTTAGGTTAGTGGGTAGTAAGTTTTATGAAAACCCCTTTATGGAGAAAGTGACCTTTCAGCAAAGGCTGAAAGAAGGTGAAGGTGAACACTGTGCCATCCAGGGGAAGAGCACTTCCCGGCTGTTGAGGGGTCAGCACAGAGGCTGTGGGGAGGGAGCATGGCTGAGTAAAGGAACAGGAAGGAGGCCTGTGTGCCTGGAAGGAAGGAGCAATGAGAGATGAGGAAGAGAGATGAGGTCAGAGAGGTAAGAGGGCGCTTAATTTTGGGGACTAGCTAGCATAAGACTTTAGATTTTACTCCGACTGAAGTGTACAGGATTGAAGGGTTTTGACGGGACTGATGTAATCTGACTTTTGTTTTTTCTAAATTTTATTATGAAAAATTTCAAACCTACTAAAAAGGTGAAAAAATTATACAGTGACTTTTGTTTAAAAAAGATCACTTTGGCTGCTATGTTGCTGGTAGGTTGAAAGGAACAAGGGCGGAAGGAAGGAGACCACTTAGGAGGAGACTTTTACAATAGCCAGATGAGAGATGTTGGCGGCTGGTTCTGTCTGGGGTGTCAAGGTAGAGATGGTAAGAAGTGATCGGATTCAAGAGATGCTACATACTGTGTGGCAGGCACTGTTCAAAGCACTTCACAAACATTAACTCAATTATTTTAACAACCCTATGAGATACATAAGAGTATTGTCTTATTTTACTGGTGATAAAACTGAAGCCAGAGATTAGGCAATTTTCCTAAGATAACTCAGCTACCAAGTGGCTGAAGCAGAATTTGAACCCAGGCAGTTTGGCTCCAATAACATTTAGCGTTGGATTTGATATGAAAGAAAGACTCCAGAGTTTCTGTCTGGAGCAACTGGAAAGATGGACTTACTGCTAACTGAGCTGGGGATGACTGGGGAAGAATACTTACTTGTCAGAGACATATTTCAGACATGTCAAGTTTGGGGTGCACATTAGACATCAGTGTCGAGATTTTGAATAGGCAGTTGCATTTAGAAGAGAGTTCTGGGTTAGGGATGTGTATTTGGAATCCTCAGTGTATATAGATCATAGTTAAAGCCGTGAGGTGAGCTCACTTTCTAGATAGTGGTTACAGAGAAGAGAAAAGGTCCACAGATTAAACTCTGGGACATAACGATATTTAGAGATGAGGCGGGTGAAGAGGGATCGTAAGAGTGGCTGGTGGGGTGAGCCAAAGGGCCTGCTGTGCTAGGAGACAAGTGAAGAAACTGTTCCCAGGAGGAGGGAGGAGGGAGTGAGGAGCTGCCAAGTCAGGTAAGAGGACTGAGAACTGAATGCTGCATTTAGAAATGTGGAGATCATTAATGATTTTGTTTCTTTTTTATTCCCTCCCTCACTTGCCTTCCAAGATCATTAATGATTCTGAAGTACACTTTTGGCAGAGGGACAGGAGCAAAGCCTAAATCATGTGGCTGCAACAGAAAAGGAATAGAAGGAAAATAGACAAAGGAAGTAGACACACTCTTTCCAGCTTACTATAAAAGGAAGCAGAGAAGTGGTTCAGTATTGCCCTGGCCAGGGTCACCAGTGATCTCATTATTGATCAACTGTCTATCCTTAGTCTTCTTAATCACTGCCAAGCAGTGGTTAACTCTTTTCCCTCCCTCCTTCCTTTCCTCCCCTCCCTTCCTTCCTCCCCTCCCTCCCTTCCCTCCCTTCCTCCTCTCCCTCCCTTCTTCCCCTCCCTCCTTTCCTCCCCTTCCTCCCTCCCTCCCTTCCTCCCTCCCTCCCTTCCCCCCTACCCTCCCTCCCTCCCTCCCTTCCTCCCTTCCTCCCTCCCTCCCTCCCCTCCATCCCTCCCTGCCTTCCTCCCTCCCTTCCCTCCCTTCCTGCCTTCCTCCCTCCCCTCCCTCCCTTCCTCCCTCCCTTTTTCTTGCCCTTTGCCCAGGTTGGAGTGCAGTGGTGCCATCATGGCTCACTGCAGCTTGACCTCCCAGGCTCAAGTGATCCTCCCTTAGCCTCCCAAGTAGCTGGAGCTATAGGCAGGTACGACTATGCCTGATTAATTTTTGTTATTATTTATTTATTTATTTATTTATGATAGAGATGGGGTTTTGCCAAGTTGTCCAGGCTGGTCTCAAACTCCTGAGCTCAATCGATCTTCCTGCCTTGGCCTCCCAAAGTGCTGGGACTACAAGTGTAAGCCATCACACCCTGCCTCTTTAGGGTTACATTTTAGAGTAGTTTGAGATTCACAGCAAATCTGAGTGGAAGGTACACAGTTTCTGTGTACCCTCTGTGCTGTCCTACCCACCTCCCCTCCCGGCCCTTGTCATTATCAATGTTCCCCACCAGAGTGGTACATTTGTTACAATCAATGAACATGCATTGACACATTATCACCCAAAGTCCGTCACTTACATTAGGGTTTTCTCTCAGTGTTATACGGTCTGTGGGTTTTGACAAATGTATAGTGACATGTATTCACTATTACAATGTCGTATAAAATTGTTTCACTGCTCCCAAAATCCTCTGTGCTCTGTTTATCTATTTCTCCCTAAGCCCCTGCAACCACTGATCCTCTCACTGTCTCCACAAGTTTTTCCTTTTCCAGAATGTCATCTGGCTGGAAACATACAGCATGTAGCTTTTTCAGATTGGTGTTTTTCAAATAGTAATATGCAATAAGATTCCTCCATGTTTCTTCATGACTTGAGAGCCCATTTCTTTTTAGCGCTGAATAATATTTCATTGCCTGGATGTACCACACTTTATCCTTTCACCTACTGATGACATCTTGGTTGCTTTTCTGTTTTGACCGTTGTAAATAAAGCTACTGTAACATCCTCGTGCAGGTTTTTGCGTGGACAAAAATTTTTAACTCATTTGGGTAAATACCAAGGAGTGCAATTCCTGGATCATATGGTAAGAGCATGGATAGTTTTATAAGAAAACTCTCTTCCAAAGCGACTGTGCTATTTTGCGTTCCTGCCAGCAATGAATGAGAGCCTCTGTTGCGCCACATCCTCGTCAGCATTTGGTGGTGTCAGCATGTTGGATTTTTGCCACTCTAATAGGTGTGTAGTGGTGTTTCATTGTTGTTTTAATTTCTGTAATGTATGATGATGAGCATCTTTTCATATGCTCATTTGCCATCTATATATCTTTGTTGAGGTGTCTCTTCAGGTCTTTTGGTCATTATAAAATCAGGTTGTTTATTTTCTTATTGTTGAGTCACTCATTACATTTTAAAACACTTTCTCATTGCTTCTGAGATGCCACATTCCCCAGTTTTCCTCCTGTCCTCTGGGAGCCCCTTCAGTCTTCTCTACCACACTCATTTTCTCTGTTCATCCTTTAGATCTTTGTATCTTTACATCTTTCTGGAGCCAATAGCTTCATTGATCACTGTGATGATCAGTCCTCAGTTAACTTTTTGGCCTGGACCTCTCCTCTTGGTTATAGGGCTGCATATCCAAGTATTTACTTACCATTGGCTTCATGTCAGATCAGCGGAAACATCTTCAGAAATGAACTTAACTCCCCTCCCTAGATGTGCTCTGTTCTGTATTCATTGCTTTAGTGAATAGCATCACCATCTGACCAAGGCCAGCACAAGCCTTGATGCTTTCTCTGTCATCATTGCCACAGCTCATCAGTTACCAAATCCTGTCGATTCAACCCTCCATTCCTATAGCCACTTCCAATACCATACTAATCATTTTCTCTTGCCTCAGTTAAACAATAGCCAGTTATATGGATTCCTGGCTCCAGTCTTGTCCCCCTCTAATCTATTCTCAACTTTGCTGCATGAGTAATCTTTCCAAAACACAAACATAAAAATAAATAAAAAATACCACACACACATGCACACTCTCTTACTCTCTTTCTCTCTGTTACATAAACACAAATCTGATTTTACCATTTTCTAGCCTTTTTTACTTTTTTACCATTGCCTCCAAGGTAAAGTTTACTCCATAAGGTGGCAAGCATTGGCTTACAAACATGTTTGGCTATGATAAGAAAAAAATATAGTTTATACTGTGACCCAGAACACACATATATGAATACAAATGAACAAAAGATTTCTTTGCTTGATTTTAGAGATGGAGTCTTGCCATTTTGCCCAGGCTGGACTTGAACTCCTGGGCTCAAGT